TGACCGTAGCCTTGAATATCGGTAGAACCGTGTAACGAGCTCGCTGCTGAGAAGTTCACAACAATGAAGCAGACTATCCTGGACGAGAGATTCATTTGGATTAAGCTGAGGCTCCTGTCAAAAGCATATGCATATGCAAATGAGGATGATTGTCGAAATCTGTCGAATAACAGTTCAAGTGGGAAATGAGTTTGGAAGAACTTAAATGATGAGCCTTAAGAAGGGCGAAACCGGTCGTAGGCTGTCGAAGAGTCTTCAGTGACCTTAAGAGTGGTGGGGTACACCTAGTCTGATATGGGCACATTTTGCACTATATATATATATATATATATATGGCAGTAGCGTTCACCAGAATAATTAGATTTTTGAGAATCATAAACGAACTTCCAGATGGTTTAAGTGGAAAAGACGAGTCATGAAGTAAGTGGGAGCGATCCGAGCTCTCGGAAAGAACAATTTTACTAGGATCAGTCACAAGGACTCTACTAACATCACTTTAGTGTTCTTTATAAGTGTAATGATTTTTAAAATTTCAGTCTCTAAATTTCATAAGCGGATCAACTCAAGCTATTCGTATTTTTTATTATTTTAGGACAAATCCAGAGAAACAAACAATATACAGTAGAGTGGGGACCGAGGGTGTGTATTGAAACCCGATATTCACAAGGACAACCAGCTTATCTGAATCACAAAAAGATTACTTACGTAAGTTCGTGAGATGAATTTGGACAAACGACTTCCATTCTTAAGAATTTCTTGTGGAGTTTAGTCTATTTACATCAAAGATGGGTTTGGCTTCCCCTTGTCATTGTTTGAGATGCCTCGAGGAAACTGTAAAGTTGAGTATTTCACGCTTCATTTTTCACTTCACTATTCTGTCTTTTTCTTCCAGGGCAATGAAGTCGTGCAGCTTGAACTCACACACCTACTTTTTCAGTGCCACTATAAGGTCACTGTGTCAGAATACAGTACAAAACAACCAACTACACAGCAGAGACCCCGCTTTTGGCAAGCGTGCTTCTGCACCCCGCCCTGTCATACCGTTACGGTACGCACGGGACCAGCACCGTTCAACTGTACCAACACAGGTAGGTGGCGGAAAATATATGGGGTGCATGTAGGAGGATGGGAAAACACTAGGCATGTAGAACGTTGCATCGACGGGCCTGTTTGTGAATGGCCGGGCACCAAGCTGACTACACCGCGTGAACGACTGTTCAGGTCATATGGGGCAGGGAAACTGACAGGGCTAAACGACTTTTGTGAGCATAGTTCAATTGCTGTGTAAAGATATAAAATATGGAGACACTAGAAATGAGGTGTAGCATTATTTTCTTAGGGTAAGCATCCATTCCGAAGAGACAACCTTGCAGGTGCGGAATGTTTTCAATGACATGTCCTCTCTCCCGTTTGGCTAGACCACCACAAAATTGTGTAGAGCACTTTCCAGTTCACACTCAAAGGGACATGGACCAATATCACCACTCCAGATGCAACGGCCGACATCACGCTAAGTAAGCACCATTATTGATCCATCTGTACACTGAAGGATTTTCTGTACACCAGAAGGATCCTGGTGACCTGAATTGACTAACCATAGCTCGCAGTCAAGCTTACGGTGTGCAATTCCAGTTGCACAGAGCAGTTCAGTATTTATCAAGCCCGCAATAGTGACCACTGGTTTTGCTATTATTTTTTAATACACCCTTGTACCTGATGCTTAGTATATATATACATATATTTATATATATCTGACCGCAGAATTTTCTGTTCATCGGTGATTATAATGAAATTGATAACCAAAAGCAAGTCTGTCCGATCAATCTAAGCCCACTCGTGCTACTGACGATCAACCGGTGGTTTAGTACTGAGTAGTGTAATGCCCTAACCAACACAATCTGTTGCCAATTTATTCCAGCCTCTTTCGGAAGCATCGAGCCTATGAAGCTTACATACAAGCTACTTGATCCCAAAGATCCCATACCAAAAGCCAACGACTTTTACATTCTGCAAATGGAACAAACAGGTCTTGAACTGGCCCCAAGGTTAACGAGTGCCTCAAGTACTCATTACGATGCTATGGTTAATTGGAAGCTGTCGGGTGAGAGCACGCATAATGCGTTTGAAAAACCAAGGCGGTTTCGTGCGCTTCCGAACCACCGGGAACAGAACACGGATCCAGGCGTTCGAGGAATCCGAGTCACATGGGGTCCACGTGTTTACGAGCCGGTAGCAGAGGAATCATACCACAATGGCCTGAAACCGTATTTGGATCCAGAGCGCGCGCAATCCAAAGTTGTTGATCCCGTAAGCTCGTCTAAGATATTCAACATTAACTGTATGTACTATATATGAGGAGACATCATCTAGACGTGTACCTCTGGTTGAGCTGCAGATGTAGTCCAAGCGACCCCAACTACGCCCCGTCACTTCGTCGGAATGCACAGCCGATTTTGAATGGTAATACACTCCATTGCGTTAAGTTGTCCCGAAAAGCCGGAAAGTAATGGGGAAGTTGTCGAACCATTAGAGTTGCGTGTCGCTTCTACAGATGTTCTTTTGCCTAGAACAATGGAGTTTGATGACCAGGGGAACCAGTCTTCGGGTACTTCTCAGCTTTAGATGATCGTGTCTCAAATGCCAATTTACGTACGGGGCTCCTCGAATCCTTTTACCATCGGTCGATTTCATGCAAAAATAGTGTTTACTGTTGGAATTGAAGCAAGGGACGTAAATTACACTCGTGTTTTGGAAGATGCTGCTCTTGGAAGGTTGCGAATTAAATTCCATACAAATATAAATGACAATACTGGTAATGTGAGGCCTAGAAAACGAGTGGCTGATCGGATAACCACGTGCAACCTCACAGGAGCTCGCCACCTCCAATTTACCACATTGCAAAACTAGGTAAAACCAAGCTCCTTTTACGCACGAAATTTCACAAATGAAACCTCCGACCTAAGTGAATACTTCCTGCGTAATAGAATGCTCTCGAGAACAAAGTAACCTATCAGTCCAGTGAGAAAATCACTTCCTGTGAATAAATCAACACAGTGCTTTTTTCCAGAGATGGACAATAAATTTAAAACATGAATCGTTTACAACTCGTTTACAAATCAGTATACCGCACATGATAATGTTACCCATTTTGTCCAAATTCTTTGATAGAAACATTCCAGCCTTATCCTACGCCGACTCCAGCCAAACACCCTGTACATAGTCCATGTCCAGCCGATCAGCGAAGATACCGACGGACCAGTATCAACCATCTTCTTCTCTATTCCAAGTAAGTCCTAGTACATGTATGCTCAAATTTAGCGCTGCCGTACGAATGTAGACCGGAAACCTGCGAGCGAACATAACAGTTGCACCAGCAGCTGTACAATGTAGTCAGAAAAAAAGACGCTTCCCACACTTGTTTCACCAAGTGTGTTATAATTTCGGCGGTGTCAGTGTCTTTCACCAACCATCGCGGAATCTGTCACATTTCGGTTCCACAAAGAGACAATAGTTTGCATGGGAATAATGAACAGTGATTAGCTCAGATAACCCGAAGATGAGTTCGGAATTCCGAATTCGAGCTACCAACTGCTGATCATTGGTACGACCGATCTTGAAAGAACGATCACAATTAGACAGAACCGGAAGAATACGAAGAATGTTCACAAAAATGCACTTTTAGCGTGACCGGTTCGAATGAACACAGTTGTATGTTAGGTTTGAAAAGTTTATTGCAGTTGCAGTGCTCCTCAATGAGTGCGGTGTGTTATGCATCTACGTACTCTTCTTATACCGACAAAAATACCATTGCTGAGTGGTACAAGTTCGCTAGAAATAGCCCAAAAACGATACAAAGGCTGATATCGGCCGCAAGTTTGGCGTGCAGAAAGTGAGCATCTAAGGACGGGAAACTGCTCGGACCGAAATCAATTTGCATTATGATCTACTGCTTCCGAACGGAGGCATTTTCAACAGAGCCCAGTCACTCAAATTACATCATACCTTCTGTGCGTATACCATCCCATGCTAGAAACTACCAGACTAGGTCGGCATGAACGGATATTCGCTCGAGACCCATTTAACTGAACACCAATAATGCCACTGGATTATTAGGGCATAGTTTAGGTTAATTCTCTTGTAATGATGATATGAATCATCCAGCCCATGGACTTGACATTGTCGAGTGCTTATACACATAGAAATGTATGAAAGTACAAGGAAGATTAACAAATATATACTCATTTGCAAACTAATTTGGTTTTTCGAGAGACTCACCTGGAACCCAGCTGAATCTCTCGTTTGTGATGTCCCCAGGCAACTGAATGTGCTGCCTGGAAACATCACAAACGAGAGATTCAGCTGCGTTCCAGGTGAGTTTCTCGAGAAACCTAATTAGTTTGCAAATGAGTGTATGTTCGCTGAATTCGTGCAATTTGGTTTCAAGTAGAACATAAGGTTGACGGAAACTCGGGGACTGCGCCCACCTGATGAGCCCCAAGAAGGGTGAAATCGGTCATGGGCTGTCGACGAATTTTCAGCAACCTTATGAGCACTGCATTACAAATATATACAAAGATTGTTTCGTTTAATGAAACATTGCATTTCATGACTGAAAACCTGAAATGAGCCACACCAAACGAACCATTTTGCTCAAACAACCTTGACTTGCTGTCTCAATCAGGGAAGAAGCCCCGCACTCAGAAAACAATGTGTCTGTTTCCAGGTTTATGTACGATAACCAAATCGATGAATGCATATGTATACGTTGTCGGCCTGACTACGTGTGTCGGCCGGAAACGTTTGACAAACGGTTTAAAAAACAACCACCTCGTACTTTCACCACATGCTGACTCTATCCTTCATAGTGAAGTAAATTACAGGTGACAAGTTTACGGTGGGTAGTTACCACAGATGATTTACCTAACCCGTACATGGCTGCCTTTTGTACACCGTCCGTATTCTGTATTGAACCTAGATATAACGCACCTCGTTTTTCACCTTTCCTTTACTCAGAACATTCGCAGCCCCAGGTACAAAGTGTGTCAACGAGATGCAAGTGCTCAAACCGCTGGGTTCTTCTTTGTCAGCTGTTCGTCATTCTATTGCGCGTAGCCATCGTACGATGACTGGCGTGCGAGATGGCCTATTCCGGTCATTTACATCGAAACACTTCCGATAAGCTCAGGAATCCCTGCCTTCCTATTCCGTCCCACAATGCTGCGGACAGGCTACGAAACAAGGCTACAAACTGCCAAACATTGCATTTCTTTGAAACAAGAACAATGTCCAGACATTTATAAGGCGAGTCCAATCATGTAAATTTAAAAACTGATTACCGATCGATCCCGAAGGGTCATCATCCTCATGTGATATTCTGTGAAAAGTCACTCTGTCGAACAAAGTATACCTTATTTTCAATTTTTGAGGTGAGTTTTCACAGCAAGTTCCAGGATGGAGGGTTAAGCCTCAATCAAACTGAAGTACCTGTCCGGCCTCATTCGTTTCGGAAGACGGGGTAGTTTTAGCGAAAGACTAAATAGCAAGCAACGTTGGTTGCCGTAGTGTCATACTGCACACAGTAAACATAAGCCAGACGTACTTGGTGCAGCCCCAGTTAAAGAAGAAAAGCGAATCTTGATGTTTTCAAGGTTTCTTCCCGATTGGTACCGCTAGAAACTTTCCCAAACTACTAACAAACTATAAGTAGCTCAGAAGAAGAAATAAATCACAGGCTGAATGGACCGTCTATCTGAGATGTTGCCATTCGAGGAGCCAGTCAATATGGGAAGCTGTAAATTCAGTGACAGAAGCATGAGTGACATGTCCCATCCAAGTGTAAGCCAATCACACTGCTGGTCAATTGTTTGTGGCCGAATGGTTAAGTACCCAACTACTAGCCAAGAGGTCACCGGTTCCAAATTGTGTAGAGTTTCGAGAAACGTACACTGTTGGTGCTTCCCAATAAGGACGAAACAGCTGTTTAGTGCTCCTTAGCCTTTCGGCATAGAGTCAATTTATTTGAATTTACATGAAGTCCCCACGTCTTCCTCCAGAAATAGATGCTTTAGTTTTTCGTAACCAAGGTACATCGAACAATCCATGCAGGGCTATGAAATCTCAAGTCCAAGGATGCAAAAGAAAGTGAAAGATCGGTGATCTGATTTGAGCTGGAGCAATACAACAGTAGATTTCATCCACCTCACAGCGATCATATTAATGCAGCACGTCACCTTCAGCGGGAGTGATACCTTTCCTTAAAGTAGCCTTTGGACCCGGGAAGTAGTTTTCTCGAGGTACCTTCGGTTATAGCCGTAAAAGTAAAGAGGAACAACAAATATCGTTACGGCAAAGCCCCCTCCAGTGAGGGAGCATGGGTATGACGTTGGCCACTTAGAAAACTCGTCCTAAAAAAAGATCTCCACTGCCAGAAATTCAGACTGAGATGAAACATCAAAGGCGTTTTCGTGCGCCCTTCAAGGCAAATTTGCACCCAATTTAGATGCCCGTACAGCTAATCAAGGTGGGGGCGAGATGTCTCAGTGGTTAGAGCGCGAATTTACTGACTGGAAGATCCGTGGTCCGAAACCGACCTTTCCCTTTCCAATCCAGGAGTACTACTCTCAAGTCTTGTTTCTGAGGGCAACTCGTATCGAAACTTAACTCACTTTTCTGCATTGTTTTCACATTACAAAGGGTTTGTGGCGGTAGGGTATGGCTGCTCCGCTTTGGATAAACCGCTCCATTAATAAACTACTTTTGATCGACACCTGTGCACAGGCTCTCGCCGGGGCGCAACGGTATTTTTAGAACAGCCTAGTAATCATAGACTTGCACATGGCGCTGACCTCCTCCACCACAGGGGTTACCTTTATTGATTTCCTGACTGCAAATGACTAACTAGCCCAAAGTTCGTGAGAAAAGCTTCCTATTGGACGATTCACATAACAGTATTATGCTGAAACCTGAAGGGATTGACGGACGACTCGGGTTCCTGGATCATAAACAAGCAAGTGGTGCTGGTGTCAACTGTTATACCATCTTGTTTAGGTCGCTTGATGGCTTGCGAAAGACCTTTTCTCGCTGTTCATATTCCCTCGAGTTTGTCCGTGTCATATATATATATATATCACAGATTTGTTCAAAAAACATCTAACGGAATCGAACCATGATTACAGTAACTGAAGTTGAGGGGTTCTTTAAAGCATTATTGATTGCTCATAAACTGGAAGCTCGTTGACAACCCACTGTCGGTTTCGCTCTTATTCGGGTACATCAGGGAGCGGAGTCAATCAACCTTAAGTTATACTGCTACTACTGTTAGCTTCAACACAAAACTAAACGCGATTGACGAAATAAATCACTAGCAATGTCGGTTTCGCTCTTATTCGGGTACATCAGGGAGCGGAGTCAATCAACCTTAAGTTATACTGCTACTACTGTTAGCTTCAAAACTAAACTAAACGCGATTGACGAAATAAATTCACTAGCAAATGAAGTCGACGTTAACAAGGAACCCAGCTGAATCCCGGTTTTCTTTTGTTTATGTTATCTTTCAACTGAATACGCTACACAAAGACCACAAACGAGATTCGATTGCGTCTCTCGTTAACACCAATCCTTCCTTCCATGTAGATGTGTAGTGAATCTCAAAAAAACTTTGGGCTAGCGTGTTGTAAGAGTTTATAACCATTGGGCGCTGGAAGATCCAGGAATACCCCCACAACAACACATTAATGAATTCCAAGGCGCTGGAACCAGATTTGAATTGGAGAATAAGTTAACAAGCTCTCTGTGTATGGATTGAGAAAGGCACCAGTGATGCAGAACCGGATTGAGATCTTTTCTGTAGGAAACGCACAATATGTACAAAATAACTGGATGGTGGGGACCGGAAAATGTCTGGATACGGTGTGGGAATCTACGAGTCAATCTTCGTCGGAGTCGGCGACCAGTATAGTTCGGCCAGGAGTTATGGCAGTGTTGTGACGGGTCTGTCCCTGATCCAAATAATCATAACATCTTGTCAATTGCTGTAGCTCCAAATCCAGTGCCTCGGCACTAATTTGCTCCGGATCGCTGTCTTCATTTTCTTCCAAGTGTGAAAACAAAACGGACCGAGCCTAGTGGAAATGGGATGAGAAGGATACGTCGGAGTCAAACACTAAGAAAGATGTATGGTGCTCGTCTGGTGAACATGAACTCGACGGTAGATGAAAATGACGTAAACTACGGTCAATCGTACACGACGGGTCGTATAGGAGTTACTCTACAGTCACAAAGTCTCCAAGTACAGCAACTCTGAATTGCTCAAACCTATCTGTTTGGATGATCCGAGACACACAATTATTCTCAATCGCCGGTGTGGTCCCCACAATCACGAAAAATACCGATAACTCGGTAACACCTAATGCTTTAATTCGGATTTCCCGATAGAAATGCTATTCCAGTGTGGCACTGGATATTTTACTGAGAACTAGTTCAACCAGTTTTACTTGTTCCCACTGGCGACGCGGTTGCGCCTACCAGACCTAATCAGGCCTACAGCGGGTAACAGCCAACGCTTCTTGCATGTCATAGAAGTTACCGGTTGATGGGCTGTGATCGATTCGTGGGGAAAACTGGGCACATCACGAGCAGTGCTTCCTGTCAAACTACCACTGTGACCGTGCTGCATCATCCGGAGTCAAACGAACATACGGAATCCGAAATGCTGCGCAGCCAACTGATTAGGTGAAATGGGTTCAAAGACAAACAAGCAGTGGCCTCAGTGGACCATATGAAATATATCCCGAAGTTTCGTCAGCAAAAACCAACGAAGCAGTGAACCTCTGTTTTACCCTCGTTAAGGCAGATTATCTCCGTTTCCGCTAAGGTTGGACGGGTTCTATCGAGTAACCGGATCAAATGCTTAACCCACGATGCCAGCGCGACACGGTTACTGGGTCTGAAGTGAGCTATTTGACTTTATGGGCTTCATGTTCACCCCCTGGTTGTTTGACTCATTGAGATGAAGGCTTACCGTGGCCGATTCGCATACGTCGTTTAAGATGCAATAACTACCCTGATCAGCTCGAGACTGGGAGACAAGTAAGACTACTAGGATCTAAACCCATACTTTCTGGAGTGTCTTGCTTTGTGATCCATGCGGTATTGCACCGTAAGCTGAAGAACCAACTATTCGGCGGGATGACTGTGCACTATGGGACGGTGAATTCCACAAGGTACTTGTATGCCGACCTGCTTCAGCTGATCTAATTGCCACGAAAATTATCACCACCTAGACAACCAGAACTGATCGTGGAAAGCGACTGGAGATGACTCCACTCCAACAACCACGGACAGCGTACACGGAATGTGTTTTGCCCAATTTCGCACCTCACGAATTATTCAGAAATAGACCAATGAAGTGTCTCAAATCATTCTCAAAGATTATCTGCTTTGTTCATCACCCAGCAGAGCAAACAGTCACGTCATCTCACTAAGATGCATTCAATTCCTGACGCAACAGCAAAAAATACGAGCTTAATAAAGCATCTGCGATTATTCTCGCTAGCAGCGGTGTACCTAATGCAAATCGGCCATCCAGCGATACTGAGAGCAATTACGTATTGAATTACAGTGGGGCATCGTTTGCGCAGAGTGCGAATACACCGGATTTCAAGATCATCCGAGTCAGAAAAACAAGTAAATATAATTCGAATTTTGTGGCTGAAAGAATAGCATTTATATAAAACATAGGTTCACGCGAATAGTTGAGATGAATACTTTTAGTGCAGAAATCAATAGATCAGTTATCAAACTGATTGTACAAAACCATCAGGGTACATAACTCCGGTCTCGATCATCTTCAAATGAAAATCCTGGTAATATATAAAATGAAACTGTCAGATGTTCCGAACACCGGGGACAGGCTTTATCAAAGAAGAAATGACTGACACCAGAACATTACCAACGTTGCTAGTCAGAGACTTACAAACAGACGCTCAAGTGTGTTCGGAGCGTCGCATGTGTGTGCGTTACACCATTTGTGGGGCTACTCAACGAAATAATTCTGATGTAAAAAGTTTCGAATTGTGGGTTTTGCAGCAAAACTGCCACCCACACTACAGAACGATCACTACGAAGTAGAAATGAAGACGGCCGTTCATAAGTTGAGGGTTCATATACGTAAAGAAAAACCTACCGAATACTGTAATGTGTAGATGGTTTGTGTTAGTTTGCCCTGCATGCCGAAGGCGTAATAACGTCAAGTAACAAACCAAATAGTAGTCAGTCGGCAGACTTCCATGATGGAAGAGTTTTTGAACAAATGAGCGAAACAAAACCCCAGTATTCATTCAGTAAAAATAGCGACCGGATGCTTGACACACGGCTGGTAAAGTGTACTCGGGAGCGACAGAAATAGTCGTTTAAAAATGTACCTGCTCTATGAGAAGACCACAGTGTGGTACACAAACATCAAAATCGTCTGAGTGGTGGAAATGTTGCATATATACAGCCTGTCTGGACCCTGAGGTTTTCAGGAATAAACAATGAGTTCGGCAGCTTCTAGTGTACATAGTATGTCTACATTCTAGGTAGCGGCATAGGGAAACGAACATACAAAGGATTTATGGAAACATAAACGGCTGGCCATACAAACATAACAGGATCTATTTGTAATTACTACTCATCAAGAAGGGCGAAACCGGTCGTGGGCTGTCGATGGATTTTCAGCAACCTTATGAGTAGCACATTACAAATATACATGTATCGCGATATTTCAAATATCGTAGCGACTGAAACATGAGGCGGCCTGGTGCAGCACATTCAGTTGCCTGAGAACATCATAAACGAGAGATTCAGCTGGGTTCCAGGTGAGTCTCTCGAATGAACCAAATTAGTTTGCAGATGAGTGTATATTCGCTAATAACAGGATCTAGTTTAGCTGCCAACAAAAATTATTTATAGCAGCCGCTATATACGTATGCAAATGATACGATGAAATAGGGTTGACTGGAATGTACTTACCACACCAGAAACATTCAGTTTGTACTAAGGATATATAAACACTATTCAGCTTGGACGACACTCCAGTTCTATTCATACCCACCAGAAATTTGTGTATTTAGGCCAGACTCACCTTCTTTGGAGGAGGAGCTGTCACTACGGTCTTTTCGATTTGCAGAGGGGAGGAAATCTGATGAGAAAGTGAGAAAGGACTGTGAGAAAAGACTGTAAAAAGTATACTAGTGTAACGATGATACTACTGATGGAGAGGCATGCGAGTAGTATGTGTTGTCCTTGGAATTTCGCTTTGCGTCTCTTTAAAATGGGAGATCTGTTGCGGAATTTGTGGAGTCGCTTTGTAACCTTTGCTTGGATTTGAGCAATGAATAGGTGGAATCAATGAATATCCAGGAAAGTTCAAGAAGATGGGTTCCAGGAGAAGATGGATGTCCAGTTTTTATAAATAGGATGCAAATGAGAGTTTTGCTTCCCTGTCTAATAATCTGTAACTGGTCGTTGGCATTTTTCAATAAATAACTCCGCAGCGAAGGACTTCTTCCTCTCACTAGTAGGGTCGAACTCAGAGCGAACCGTAAGATAACCTAGCGTAAGTGATCACGTGAATACACCTGTGATGCTTATGGTATTTTATTTGAATTGGGTCTGTATGAACAAGAGGGAAAAAGTGTGCTATCAACAGGGACAAAACAAGCCATAAAACCTCGAATGAAAGTGTAACGTATCCAGTTCAAGATGACGAGCCCAAGCACAAAGAAATTAGAATAAAGTTAAGTAAAAACAGCTTTGAGATCAAAGTATTGAACAGCCCGACTTACCGATTGTCGAAGCCGGGGCACACTAAACGGCCGAGGAGGGACAGACACTTTCGGGGAGGACATTGATGGAAGCAACTGTGTGTGGGTGATATCAGCTTTGTTCTCAATGATGGAAAAAAGTGAAGCCTCTTTCAAGGGACCATCATGAACAGCAGGAGGCAGTGTAGCTAACAAAGTTATCTCATCGCCAGCCACGTCGTTGTTGAATTCAGGAAGAACGGAATGCGTCACCGATGATATGCTGAACAACATAAGAGAAAATATGAGCAAACGTGCCCACTTTGCACGAGAATACATCAAAGACAGGTATACCTGCACCTAGTTGTGGGAAACCTGCGAGAAGTTTTCAGAATTGAGCAAGTATCAACATTGACACTGGGTATTATTAGCTGATAACACCGGTCGCGGATACAAATCTAACTAAATCTAAACTATTCCGGTTGCACCACCAAATTGTTCGAGACATTCGATGGAACAACAGTGGAAACTCACTGGACAATCCTGCTCGACAGCAATGTCACTATCATTATCAGGGAACTACGGTGGTACTACCCAACAATCTATAAAAACTTAGATGATTTGCTACTTTGGTCCCATGTCTTGGCTGCCGGTCATCTGGCCAAACAATAAGCTTAGCACGGCCTACTCCACAACCATACTCATGCTGTGCACAACCAGCTACGTTAGTTATTCTTTTGCTCGCGAGTTTAAGACAGCCCGTCAGCTTGCTCCACTTAATACCAAGATGTATCTTACATTCACGGACTTCATGTTCACCCAACGATGACCGGACTCCTTGGAGCTGGTTTTGATGAGGACAACCGTCTACACCGCCTCGTTGATCTGAAGGTACAAAAATTATAGTGTCCCACAATGCCCATGTTACTGCCGTTTTGATCTCTTACCGACCAACAATACCCTCACTGAACATCATCATCGTTGTCGTCAGTGACAGCATGATATCAATGTTCAATAACTATTTTTGGCTGCCGTACTTCATTGAATGGCTACCCGACAGAGAAACCGCGGAAATATGCTCCATGATATTGGAATTTGTCCATCTCTTGTTTAGTGGTTCTATTTTGGGGAGAAAATGCTAGTTTGTAGTTTTGTATCGGGAAACTCGAACCTTGGATAGTGCTTTCCGTAAGTTTGTAATAAAGGGAATAATTTGTTACCACTATAAGTGAGCAGCATCCACTGAACCCTGGTCTGTGGTTCGTTTTGGAACGGCAATACCCCACAGCGTGAATTGTCTGTGACAACGAATGCATTATGATGTATCATGAGAGTCGATTGTAACTGGGAACTGTGGCGCAGCCTCCTAAAACGTGCGGTCGTTATACCGTAATGAAACATGTCAGACAGATCAATTGCCAATATTAGTGCTCAACTTTCAGGCTACCCCTCGATGCCTACCTTGTTTTACACACATCAAACAATGGAAAGCCAGAGGTCATCGTCATTTGACTGAACATTTTAGGGGGCGAGATCGCCCACGTGGTTAGAGTGTGAATTTATTGACCGGAAGGTCCGTGATTCGAACCCGACCTCTGCTCCCCGAATTCCCCTTTACCAACTTATGATCCTTCCTTGCTGGAAGATCAAGTGTTCGTTTGAGCACCAGCTATATGAGTTTTAACCGGTAATGCCCTACCCTTGTTGTCCGTGGTTCGAACCCGGCCTCTGTCTCTCGTCCTACCCTGTCGAGGCTTTGGCAGTATACCAGCCATCATGCAGCCTTCGGGTGGCACGGCAGTTAGGCTCCGAAAGGGTGGTACAGCTCAACGATGTACTCCGTAGAACCACAGAGTAACGAAAGTTGGAAGCAAATTTTCCATGATCCCTTATAGTTAGACCTTTTGGATCAGTTTTTACGGCAACGAAGGAACCCAGGAAAAGTCACATTGGTTCAGATAGCCTTTATTTCCAGGAAATCGCATTTGGGGCGGAAATGACGGACCTGCACATGCTATCTTCTAATGCTTAATATTTGGTCGTGGATAGGAAACCATACGCAAAGGCGAACATCTTGACAAATTGACTAGGCCAAGAGATTCATACGGGGTAAACGAGTTCCGATGGGTCAAAATAATGTACTGGCTTAGACAAAAGTATCACAAAGGGACTCATGCTAGAACAGGTGCTATTCTTCTTGCCATAATGAGGAATGCTTTGAACTGAACTCACTTGAATGTGGTTGATGGTTGCGACACACGGCTGATTTGCACAGGTGTTTTACTTGCCAAAAGATGTGGCTGAACAGACTGGGAACGCTGAGAATCAGAGGCGGAATAGGAATCGGGCGGTAAAGTAGCCAATACAAAGTTCGCACTCAGTCGCGTCTCATGTGCACAGGCAAATATAATGGGGCGACCAGGTCGATCACAATAAATTCGTACGATGGGGCTGATGAGCTCGCAGAAGGCGAGTAGTGCCTGTGGAAATAGGAGAAAGTGCCCGTCAACGAATTGACATGTTTCCAACACAAACTAGTGGTGACAGCACGATTTACTGCACTGTGTTGTATCGGCGACCACGATACTAATTGCGTTCTAGCATTCAGAGGGCACTGACTGCTTGCTCTGGTAACCCCTGACATCGTCATAATTACGTGCTCCCTATCAAACATCTTTTGACATTGGCGAGAGGCACATCCTACACAACGTGGGCTTCGCAGACATCGATGGATGTGAACGAACCGAACCTACGAAACAAGAAAAACCTGAAATATCATAAGTTTCTGTAGCAGCTATGAGAGCAGGATACTCGAACGAACAACGTTCGAAGCCGCAAGTTTAACCTCGGATGGGCAATGGAAATCCAGTGGGAAATACTGTGGACTCGCGTTAAGACAACCCTGGCTTGAAGCCTTGTATTTAGCCTTTCTCCCTCGCCTTCGTTTTAAGAAAAGCTGAGCGCTATTTCGAACTTTTAGTGAAAACATTACACTTACTAAAGTAGTAAGTTGTGACCTCGTGTGGAGGACCACATGTAACGAATCTAAGTGCATTTATGTTAAAATGTTTCCAGGGTTGTTAATTTTGAGTAGAGGATTAATAGAGTGAAACAGTCGTGTTCAAGCTAAAACTGAGCCAACGGTCACGAATCAGGAAAAAAACGCGAGTGTAAAATGACGAAAAAGCCTCCACACAAGTAACTTACCCGAAGTTCTCTCTGACAGAACGTCAGTTCACTGACACAGCCCACCAAATAAGCATCGAACTCACTAGCGCTCAGCGGCAACTGAGTCAGAATTTGATTATGGTCTGAATCAACATAGGAAAACTGTACAAGTTAATTTGCTTGCCTCCTTGTAAAATGTAGTTCTGAAATATACATTCACCATCTTTTACAAGTATAGTGATTTCTTCCGAAGATTGACGGAAATTGTTGAGTACCTCTGTCAAGACCCTAACAATAGCTTAGATGAAATGAACCATGACATACTTGGTTGTAATAACAAGGCGATTCGCTGACTGCTCTAGTGAGTAGACCGCTTCCAAATGTTCACAATCAACAATGGACATATTGTAGGTTTTCACAACACCGTACCGACAGAAAAACTGTACAACAAAAACAGTGTCATCAGAAGAAAGCATCAAGCGACACTTGTTAACTGCTTTCTCCAACGAAGCGGACAGCTTGAAAACATTGCAACAAGACTTGAAAATTCCGTAAGGCAAAGAGGATACAACAAACCCGACTTGGAATTTTGAAGCGCGTCACCCGATCCAATGCCATATGAGCCACCTTTTCGAAAAAGGCCGGTTTGAAAGCAACGGCTGCATAAGCTGATCTGGAGGAATTGACTGTTTTGAGTACGAGCTAAGGAGAATGTAGTTATAAAATAGGAACATACTCCATCAGATGACCATTCAAAGTATATTTCATGACCAAATTTGCCAAGGGAGTTAATACAGCGGATAAATACTGCAAAATACGTGTTGAACAGTCACCGCACCTTTAAGTTCCGTATGATGAAGTGAAACTTTCATGTCCACCTCAAACTACTCCTGCCAAGTTAGGCATGCAATCACACTAATGGGATGATCCAGAGAATGTAAAGCAAACTGGAATGATGCAAAAAGTGATGAGAATCTGCACGATTCGACACAACATACGCTCACACTAACATGGTATTAAGGAGACAAGTGAATCTTGCGTTTAAGGGGCTATTGCACCGACCGTGCTGTGCAAAGGCTGCTATACATTACACTCGGAACAAAATTTGCGATATCGTAGAGTTCTCCTTGATGTGAAAGCATTTGTAAGGCTGATTAAAAAATATTCGGTAGCCTGCTACCGGCTTGATTTCTTTGGATCTCATTAGGCAGACGCGGCCTCTGAAAAATGTTCGTACATAGGGCTTGTGTGCCAAATTGCTGTATACATGGGTCGAGTGCCAAGGTAAGATCTAACTCTCATGGTCCTAGTAACAATACGAAAGTTGTACATTTTCAATCAAAGGACACGTGACACCGACGACAATCGGGCGTATGCTTCCGCCAAATGTGCCCAGCCCAACTGATCGCATTGCACAACCCATGCAATTCAAAGACATCCTCATTGCGATAACTCCAATTCAATTCATCAACTACAAGCAGTATACGATGGTTCCAGCTGCTACAATGGCGTTGCTTATGAAATCGTCTCACGGTAAAAATATGGTCGGTGCATCGTTGGCCAGGGCAGAAGGCAGAGTGATTCCCACAAATGTCTTTCCCAATAATCCATCAACCTGTGCAGAATAATGCCAACGATGCGATAGATAACAGGCTGATACCACGACGTCACGGAGAGACTGGACCTTACCGTGG